ACACTGACAGATTGGACTCCACAAAAGAAGTTAAAATGTTTGAGAAATGAAAGATTGTGAAAATTAATAGAAACCTTATTTAAAATAGAGTTGGTTCAACTAATCGTTACCAAATGTTTTAATTTTAAATACCCAACCTGTATAATAAACTGCATACGTTAAAAAAAAAACCAATGGTGTCAGGAGGCCAGAAAAGAGAACTCTTTGAACACATCATTCAACGCACACTACTGACCCCAACTGGAAGAGATGTACCTTGCATCTCTGACAGGAAGTGACACATTGCTACCTCATCAGGAAGAAGAAAAGATTCTTCCCTGCCACATAGTAGCTCAGCTAATGAAAAGTTATTCTACTTGGAAGTTTCAGTTTCCTCCAATGGACTCTTCCTTTACAACAGTGCCTCTCAGGTCCATAAAAGAGTTTTTTTCTTCCTTGTTTCTCTGGACTAGTGTGTGGTTCCTGTGCCATTAGATTACATGTTCTAAACTGCAATTCTTTGTTGTTCCCAGAAAAAAAAAAAACTTTTGCTGGAGAAATAGCTATCTATTCGTTTAAAGTCAACAACTCCATAAACAAAAGTAATAAGTAATGAACCAGAAGAAAAGATCCGTTACAAATATGAGTTAAAAGCCATAATTGCAAAGAGCTGCTATAAACTAATAAGAAAAGCATGTACACAAATTTTTTGATGCAGAAAGTTATAGAAAGCCATTTCTTAGAAAAGAATGCCTAATAAACATTTGAAAGGATGCTCAAACATATTAGTAATTAGGAAAGTTTAAAACAGTAAGACACCACTTTTCATCCATCAGATAAGCATAAAATTTAAAACACGATAATACGCAGTTTAAAACATGAAAAACAGGCATTCTCATCCATTGTTAATGGGGAATATAAACTGGTAGTCTTTTTGAAGGACAGTTTAGCAGTAGGTACTAAATTGTTTAATGTGCATACTCATTTGAATCAGGCCACTTCCAGAAATCTGTCTTACAGAAATACTTGAACATGTTCACAAAGATATAAAGATGCTCACTGAAGCTTTTTTTTTTTTGATTAGTGAAAACATTAAAATTTTATATATGTCAGTCCAAAGGAAAATGATTAAAGGATTGCTGAGCAGGCTTTAAAATAACTGAGTAAATCTATAGGTACATGAAACAATTTCTAAGATAGAATGTTAAATGGTGAGTAAATTATTGAAGGCAAATTACATAGTGCATTCATTTTGCTATGTGTGTATCATATACTGATACATGTATAGACATGTATGATGGCAGGTATGGCATAGAATGAGTTTCACTTTGTAACTTATTACAGTGTTGTTTTAATTAAGATAAAGCAAGCAGTTTAGAAAGAGACATATCAAGCTGTTGTGTTTACCACAGAGAGGGGAGAAAAAGGGTGAGAGTGAAAGATTTTTACTTTTCACCCTATAAACTGTGAAAATGGAAAAATCGAACATGCAATTATTACGCAATTTTTGTGAAATCGTTTACTATAAATAACATATGAAAATACTTTCAAAGACAAATGAAATGGACCTCAACTAAGTTTACCCTAGCAGTTTTCCAAGTCACAATAAAAAATAGGATGATTTTATGATGTTTTACCTGGCACTTTTCCAGTTCTCCTTTCTTTACAACATAATTAGGAGTTACTTCAAAAGAATTCCTCATTCCTTTATGGAATATTACTGGCTTAAATATAACCTTCCAGACCAAGAGTTCAAAGCATAGTTAGCTCAAGAATTTCAGTTGAGAACCCCAAAATGGCAGGATATCACGGGTGGGGTGATTTTTTCTATTTCCTAATAAATATTACAGCAGTATGTAATTTGTCTGTGGATGTCCGATTTCCCCCAAAGTTACTCATTTAAAAAAACTGTCACACGTTAAGTCATAAATCATATTATTTTATTGGGATCGTAGAAAGGTATTAAAATGATCATGAAAGTAAAGGCCTTACGAGGAATAAAAACACGTTCAATTAATAATACCTAATATTAAACCATCATCGCTAGTCTGGATCCAGCCCTCAACGTGCCAGGAAGCAGTAAAATTAGCAACATGACTTTGCTCAATGACAGGCTCTAGAGGGTTCAACACTTCCCCAGGAGTACACTTTAAAATATATAGACTACACGTTCAATACCGCGGAGGCATCAGGTAGTCACAGGGACATTCACCTAAGGGTGGACAGAAAGGCATTGAAAAAGGAACTGCGTTTTATCTCCTCGGGGCTGGGAAGCGGGCCAGACTCTATCTTACTCGGGGTCGGATACGCGCGCTCCCGACTGATCGCGCCAACACGCAGCTTGGGTTTCACGGTAACGCGCAGTGCTAGGGACGGGTACACCGCGGCCACCACCGAACGTCAAAAATGTCTTTCC